TGCCAGGGCTGGGGAGCGCCAGCGGCTGCGCCAAGCTGAACAGACAGCAAGACCAGAAGCGGCCAGGAGCGCACAGTGGGGACTTCAGGCATCGCCAGGCAGAGGCGGCGGGCAGGAGCCGGTGCTCGCTGGCTGGTGGCTGATGCTGGCTGAGCGGCGACGGCGGCGTCGGAGCGGTGGCTGATGCTCACTGGGCCCTGCATGCGCCTTATGAAGGGCTCTGGCTGGGCCATCTGAACCAGCAGTTAATAATTGGCAGCTCCGTGTGCGCGCGGCTAGTGTTGAAAATAAGTTTGTTTTGTTTGTACGCCCAAGGCCCTGCGCAAACCGTGGGTGGAAAGAGGGTAAACGGTCCAGGCTTCAGACTGCATGTTTGCCCTGTTGTTAGGATTCCAGCCGGGAGCCAAAGTGCAGTTCTAGCCCGGAGTGCACAGCCAGGTGGAGGGCGGCTCTCGCTGGTTTTGTTCAAGGGGCATCTTCAGGCTGAGCCAGCGGGGGCTCCCCGGACCACCCAGGGAAAGCCCGAGTGATCAGCTGGGAAAGGCCAGTCCGGCTGCCAGTTTTCAGGCAGGGAAACCAAGGCCCAGGCAGAGGACGGAAGGAGGGGCTTTGAGCCCAGGGCTTTGCAAGCCCTGGTGGGTTCTCAGTGGCAAAGCCCAAAACTGCTTCTCGCTCTGCAGGAAGAAGGGCCCAGGCTGCTTAACTACTGTCTTCACAGCCTTTCCCAGGAGGAGAGAAGGAAGAAAGGGGGCAGCTCCTCCCAGGGTCGGTGCCCAGCTCCTCAGTTTCACCTGGCCCCCGAGACTGACCTTGCTAACTGCGCTTCCAGGGAGGAGAGGCACTCAGAACCCAATGAGAGACAGGGCCGAGGCTGCTGGACGGAACCCAGATTCCAAGTCCCCTCTTACTTTGGTCCCAGACAGGTTTTATCAGGAGTTGATTACCAAGGCTTCCTCTTTAGTTAAAACTCCATTTTTCCTGGATATCTTCTTGGGTGGAAAGGAGAATGTCACTGTCCCTTCAGAGACAATGAGAAGTGAGCCCAGCCACCCCCAGATACTGCAGCCGCTCTCTCTGGCACCTGGTCCCTGGAAACCAGGCAGCTGTGGACCAAAACAAGGCGGCTCTCTACTGACAGAAGAAAATCTCCAAGAGTTGTAGCATCATGCAAGTTAAGTAAAAATTCCAAGTGAAAATGAGAAGGAACAGAACACGTTATTGTTTGTGTGCAAAAAAGTAACGTGAATGTATGAGGCACTATGATTCTAAGTGTGTCGAGTGTCTTGAGAAGAACATGTAAGACGCCGGTAGCACTGCCTGTCTCGGACAGGGAGATGTGAAATGGGGTTCTTGAGGGACAGACGCTCGGTTTTATCCTTCTGAGTTTGCATTCACTAAGTTCTGCGTGATCTCGTTGAACCTAGCACTTACACTACCAGTTCTATCATCAACCTCAAGAAGAACTGAGTTAAAACTAGTTTCCTAGGTCCTTTTCTGGCCACTTCACTGGTTCCATGGCCTGGGGTAAGTCACTTGCCTTATGTGCTGCCAACGCTGTATCAACAAATAGCCTCCCTCCCCCCATCATCTCCTCAGTAACGGTCAAAATAAGGGTGGTGAAAACAATCGCAGTTGAAGATTGGCGGTCATGTTGGTCATTATTTTCACAGAGCAAAGGTCAGTGTCTGCTTAAGCAGCTGACCAATGGATTTGGCTTCTTTTTTAACCTTATTTTTGAAGTGAGTTCCCAAATGGCTTCATTTCCCCCAAAGACGTTGTGCTCTGAATTTTCTCTGATTGCCTGTTTAGGATCAGCATGCCCACGTGAAATGCTTTTTTAATGACACACGTGAAAGAGTCATCCTGTAAATATTTGGGGCTTGCCTGCTGCGGGCCTGGTGGTTCGCCAGCCCTGGACAGTTCACCCAATTGTGTGCTTGCCCAGGGAGGAACCCCCCCACCCCGAGGTCCCATTCATCCTGCAGGTACTGGAAGTTCTCCTGGCGGATTGACTTCCCAAATGTTCCCATGGCTTGCTTCATAGCAGCAGCCAAACAAATGGCCACCAACCAGGAGAGAGAGCTCTGCCTGCTCCGGACCACATCAACACAAGCAGACAGGACCCTTCCTCAACGCCTCTGAGGGCCATCTGTCCCTCTGTCTGTGGAAGTGAGATGCCCTCCCTCTGGCAAGCCAAGAGGTGGCCACTCTTGCGGTCATGTCTGGACGCACCCTGAATCTCAAGCCCTGCTGCCCCCGGCAGGTATCCACGGCCTGGCCGGGTCTTCCAGGCCCCCGTGGTCTGAATCCCAGGATCTGGGCCCTACTAGCATGAGAGGGCATGCCCTCTGGGAGCACCGAGGTGCTGGGCAGGCCGGAGAGGGAGCCCCTCCTCACCTGATCATTTTCCAGGCTTACTGCAGAAAGGGCGCAGGGCTGAGACTGGGCCCTTCCCTGGCTGACCACTACCTCAGGGGCTCTGGCAGGGCTGAGATCAGTGGTCAGAAGGGAGCCCTGGAAAACTTGCCAGGGTGCGAGCCTGAGACTGGAGACCATTTCCCGACACCCCTCATTCTGGTGGCCTTTCAAGCCGAGCACCCACCGCTGGCCAGCCTCTGGGACAGAGCCGAGGGCCAGCCACACAGAAGATGTGGCCAGAAAGATCGAGAGGGAGAAAAACAGTCGACTGATGCTTTCAGAAAGGAAGTGCAGCTCGTGATGACCACCACTGGGAAGGAAAGGGCAGCCGGTGAGGGGGTCCTGGTCCCACCGGAACCGTCCGGGGGTGAGCGGGAGCACACAAGAGGAGTGGCGGCAAAGGCCGGGAGGACATCTCCGATGAGGCCCCAGGGTCAGCTCGAGCATCCCTGACTTCAGGAGTCGCCCGCCCAGCTGTGTATCTCTGAGCAACGGGTTTCATCGGCGTCTCCAAGGGGCCTGAGATGCCCCAAAGTTTCAGTCCGTTTCTGGGGCTCTACTGCATTTCAGTGTCCTTCCTTCTCTGCCTGACGCCCAGAACTCCCTTATGCCCTTCCTCCACCCTTCATGACCCACCTGCATGTCATGTCCCTTGAGAAGCCTTCCTGCCAGCTCCTCGGTGGAATGAGGTGCCCCCTCTGCATTCCCAAAGACTGTGACACAGTCTGTTAGAGGCACACTGCAGAGCTGCAGAACCTGCATTTACCTGTGGCTCCTGCCAGGCTGGGTGGGCAGGGACAGACCCACCCAGAGTGGCCCCTGCCCCAGCCATGCCAGGCATCACACCAGCTGAGGGTAAAGTCCTCTCTTCCCAGATCAAAGCTTGCACCCTTCTTGCAGAACCACGTAAGCATCTGATGTAAAGGATGGCCCAAACTGTGCATGCCAGGGAAACTGGGGGGCTATTTGGGAGCAGGGGTGAAAAGTATCTTTTGGGGTGCATGTGAGAAGTTTTCAGTGCCAGCTTTGGAACCTATATGTTATCGACTACCCCAAAACAAAATACAACAAACACAAAACATTACACTCATGTTGTCCAAGTGACACAAGGGACACCCGGCACTCCCCTGCCTGCTCTTGTAAGTTTTCTGCCTGAAGAGGGAAGGAAAGCACTGTCCCTGATGCAGAAAAGCAGAGGAGATGTGGGTAATCTGGGAAATCCCTTCGTGTGGCTCCAGGAGACACAACCTGAGTGGGGCCTCACCCAGTGTTGTTGATGACAATTTCATGAGGCTTCATGATGTACCATGTCTGGTTGCAGGACCTGCAGGAACAGGATTTGCATCTGGAAGAACTCAGCTCCAAGAGTTTCATCAGCCCCTAAAGGGCAGGCCTGGACGCCCCCCAACAGGACCGCCTGTGTCGGCGCCTGGGATTCCAAGTCCTGCGCATATGTAGACTTCCTGGGCCTCGGTTTCCTCATCTGTAAAAGGGGGATACTGCAGAGGCTGGTGCTGTTAGCCCTGGGCAAAGGTGCCACCATTCTCCCTGTGTGCACAGAGCAGGGCTGGGTGCCTTCTGGTTAATGAAATGGCCTGGGGCCTTCTGTCAGCTGCAGTTTCCAATTCTGCCTTTACACAGCATGCTGCTTACTCACTGGCAGCCGGAAAATTGGGCAATCCCTGCTTTGAAAAACAATGCAAAGGTCAAGGGCAAAATCAAACTTTCAAAGGGAGAGAACACTGCAACCCAGGGAGCCCTTGAAGGGAAGTTGTTTTGAACCTGAGGGAAAAAAAAACAAAAGGTGTTCTGTCATGTTCCCCGATCGATGGACATAGGGACTGATGTAAATCTTGCAATGTCCTGGCCTGCTTCCCAGCTCCTGAATCTCCAGGGGCACTATGCTGCAGACCGAGGGCAAGCCCACCCCTCTGCTGATCAAAATAGACAAGTAACCCCACTCCTGTCATGTCAACACAGCCAAGATCCAAAACACAGGAGCTCATGCAGCTCGTGCACCCGAGGGCCCTGTAGAAGGACCAGGGTTTAGTCTCCTGTGCCAGGCCACCACCCTGTGTCACCATCTGGGGTGCCACCGGGGTCATGTACAAGTGACAGACACATGGGTCAGTGCTATGGGTATTCACATCCTGCCCCAGAGGCCCTGTGACCGTGGGACTCAGTGTCCTGGTCTAGACCAGCCCTGCCTCACTTGGGGCCTGGGTACAAATGCACATTCTCAGGCCCCACCCAGACCCCCGACTTGGCACCTAGGTGGCAGGGGCTGACCCGTTGTTTTCTCAAGTTCACCCGGGGACCCTGATGCTCGCTCAGGTTTGAGGGCACTGGTTTAGAAGTTCCTCCCCATCCCACTGTTGTTCAAAACTACCCCAAAAGAAGCTGTGGATGGACAGTTCAGGGGAAGGGGCAATGGATAAGGGTGAGCTGCTTGGGGTGATGAGATCTTGGGAAGATCCAACAGACCTGAGCGGTCCATTCTCGATTCTGCCGCTCACTCCAGACCAACTTATGTGAGTCATTTCTGCTGCCGGCAGATATGACCCGTGACCAGGTTCTTGTCCAACTCCAGAAAGAGTTCAGAGACAAGATATGGAGGTTAAGAAAGTAAAATGAGGATTTATTGGGTGATAGGATGCTTTCAAGGGGAGAGCAGGCAGGCTCAGGTGGCTACCTAGATTGTAAAAAATGGGCAGAATATTCTTTGGGGGCAGTAAGGGTTTGGGGATCTATTCCCTTATTTTCATCTCAGCTCCACTTTTCCGAGGG